TGTGTAAGCGTGTGCACACGGGGCTCAGGGAGAGTGTGTGTCTGCGAGTGTCTGCGTGTGAGTGTGTGTGCGCGTCTGTGCACACGGTGTCTGGGTGCATGCATGTGTGTTTGCCCTGCTTCTACGGTTTTCAGAACCAATTCTAACATGGGTATCACCGAGCAGATGTGTCCTAATGGGACACCGCACACATCGCACTTTCTGACCATCCCTCCCACTGAGTGGATTTTCCTGGACACTCGAGTGAAAAGGGGTGGACTCAACATGCACGCACAGCTGCCCACTCACTCACACACTTGGACAGCCTGGAGGCTGCCACCTACCCTCCCGTTGACGCTGGGGGACGAGTCAATCATGTCGATTCCTGAGGACTCTGGGAGGACCTGCCCGTTGCAGATGACGTGGGGCACGTAGACGTGGCCTTCGATGCAGCACTCCTTGAACTCCATGTTGTTCTCCGTGAGGGTGCCGGTCTTGTCCGTGAAGATGTACTCCACCTGCGGGCAGGGCACAGCAAGTCAGGACGCTCTGAGGGAGGCCCGCGCGTCTCCGAGCCAGACACACAGCGGCTGTTTCCTCCCCAGCTCCCACTGCGACTTGAATAGGCAGTGGATTTCTAAAAGTTTTCCCCCAGACAGACTGCTCACCGGGCCGAGCCACACTCCCGCCCCATCCTTCTTCCCAGCGTCCAGCAGGACCCAGCAGTCCTGGCAGGTGCGATTCAGGACGGGTGGGGAGGCCTCGGGGCACCTTCTCTGGGTTGGGAGCAAAACAGACAAAACGGAGTGTGGTCTCACAGTCACATTCCCCGGAAGGAGACACGGGTGGGGCCAGGGCTCCAATGGTTTGGGAAGACAGAGTGTAAGTGGGTCGTCCCGAACCTTACTTAACAACAGTAAAAACCAAGGCTACGGAGAGGACGAACTTACTCTATCTAAAGTCTCGGAGATCAAAACCCACAATGCCATGTAAGGTTGAGAAGGTAAAATTCAAGCGAATGAGGACAAAACGAACCTCGGAGAAAACTGTGATACGCGTTAAAGATACAGCCCGCCTTAACCTCTGGTGTTAGATACGCTCACGGGTCACATGTTTATCGTGACGTGTTAAAGATACAGCCCG